CATTTTGCAGCAGCCGACGAAGCCCAGCGTATGGTTCCAGGACCACTTCACCGGTGTCCATTCTGAATCGGGCATTGCCAGATGGTTTGGAGCCATCAAAGGCATCAGTGAGAAGCAGAAGACCCAAGTAAAACAATACTTGGATCTGGTCGCCACAGAGTTCCCTACTCTCAGTGACTCACAACAACAAACACTACAGACCGCCGCCATTGCCTGAGGAGTCCCGCCCAAAGCTATCGACAAGTTCGCGTCACCAGCACTGGTGAAACTTGTGGCCATCGTCAGCCAGATGACGGAGTGACTACGACAACACCTTCAACAACAACGACAATCTACCACAACACCAACCCACCCCACAAAATCACCCTTTCCTCACAAACAGTTTAAGAAGATCACCAGCATTTTGGACAAAGGCAGATCCATTCTACAAACACTTGCACCACTGGCAGAACACACCTCCGGACAACTACACCAGATCATCTTGTGGCTTCAGGGTTTAGCCTTACTGTTACGCATAATGTACTTCCACCTCAAGCATGAGGCTGGACATTTTACCAATCTTCAGCGACTTTTTCTACACTCGGGCATTTCGTATCAGTCCTACACACTTTCTTTCTTCAGACAACCACAGGTTGTCTACTGTCGCATTTCTACAAAGCAACCTCATCAACGTTACATTTACATTGGAAGCACCAGCCACACCATGACACAACGAGAAAGCACATGCAACCGCAAATTTAAACAACTTCAACAACACAAAATCGTGCAAGCAGAAGTCTCTTTACGATGGTGGCACAAACACAAGTGTTACCACCAATACTCCCCGGTTGTACTACAAGCAAACATTCCCATTCACCAACTAGAAGCCACAGAGAACACACTCATACAACACCACCAATCGAAGCTCAACTTTCCGTACATCATCTCACATGAAGGGAGCTTTTTCCGGCTTCACAAAAGCCGCCAACAACAAGCACAACGGCACCGCATCATTATGGGCCAAATTGCGGAGGGGCAAACTACACCACTCTTTTCGGAGCTTCGACAGATCTCCACTTTTTGAGACAAGAAAACAAGCATGGACCACTGTTTCACAACTTAGTTCCAACACACGCACCAGATTCGACACAGTACGGCAACTGTTGCGGTCCGAGACACCAACATCGACAGTGTATCCCTTTCACAAACTGGCCAGCAACTTACCACGCCGCGACCGCAGACATGCACACAAAGCCTTGAACACAGTGTTCAAGAAGAGACGATTAAAAACTCCTCCAGTCACAAAACCCATTTACGTACAAGCATTATCGCGCCCACAATTCACTCACAACTTGCGACACTTCTTACGTTCATGTCTGACAAGCAACAAACACCACATCCCACCATTACATTCACCAACCACAAACACTTCTCGCGCATCACCCACAAAGAACATGCCATTTTCTTTGCTACACGATACGTTGACAATCGTGTTCTTCTCTTACCGAAACATCTGACTCGACTGCGTCCTTTTGTACAGCTCACAGCTGCATCATTTTACAAGCCACCGGTTCAGCTTGAAACTGAACCGGCAGACATTTTCCTGGGTTTTGCTGTAAACCCTCACAACAGCAGCCTCACCTACCAATGCAGTTTGCGCAAGGCAGACATTTTGCACCCCCAATCGGCTACTTCCATATCAACACTTCGCAGCAGCTTCCAAGCGCGCACACGCGTGGTCCGGAGGGTGACCACACCTCACAGAGAAGCCACACATGCCATTCGAGCCATGCGCGATCTGTACATCGCGGCCGGATACACTGACCAACAGCTGTAGAAAAATCTAACGTACCGTTGCGTCGAGTTGGATTTGCTTTGTGGAGCACTGTCAGTTCTTTCCCACCGCTTGTGTGATGTGTGCCGCAGCCATTTACAGGTAGAAACGCCAGCAACATGTACAAAAGTGCCATGACCGGCAGATTGCAGCCGAGGCACAAAGCGCTGAGCAGCCGACCACAACATCAACCCATTTCCAAGCAGAACAAGCGCAGGCGCAGCCAGCCATCAACCAGCAACACAGATCCGCCGGCTTTTCCACCGCTACGCTCTCAAATTTTGCGTGTTGCGGAGCAACAGGAGGACGAGCAGCACCAGGAACAACTGGAAGATCCGGAAGATCTTCCTGCACCGAGCGTTCCAGGGCCGAATACTCCACCATATCCTCCTGATGCACCACTTGCTTCGACGGACACGACGGAGATTATTAATTTGCTGCATCAGTTTCACAATTCTTTGCTTGAGTCGAACGCCAAGCTTGAACACTTGATACAACAAGCTACGACAGTGTTGACAACCCAACACGAAGCCACTACTGCAATCATGGCTTCGTGCAAACAGCAACTTGATATTCTCGAGAGCCTAATGAGGCAGGACACGCCAGACTGGTCGTAGGTGTTGATCCATGTGAGGTGTTATGAAAAAGTTGCCCTATTCTGACTGTGCAATTGCATCACACAGCAAGCCACTTTGTACTTTTGATGTAAGTTTTTGGCCTCAGCTGCACAACGTTGACCCCTCAACTTTGGAGCCATGAGTGATGCATCCAATCAGACAGAGACGACGACTACAGCTCCGCTTGTTATGGATGAGGCACGACGTGAAGCTCTCACCCAGGCGCTCCTGGAGATTTTGACCGAACACCGAGAGCACGGCTCCGACACAGGCAGCGAAGTCTCCACCTTTAGCGACTGGGCCTTCCGTGATTAATTGGCCGAGATTATAACTCAAACAAGCAGACAAATCTCAGAGTTGAAGGACCGACTCGAAAGACTCGAAGCTTTGATACAGATGTAAAGAAGACCAACACAAGTTGGACATGTGCGTTGCATTACATTCTACGCTGAAAACAACTGCAAGTCGCATTCATTACATTCTATGCTGAAAACAACTGCAAGCCGCATTCATGACATTCCATTATCGAACACTTACACACTCGTTGACCGCAGCCATTTAGCTTACAACCTGTCGTGTTATTATCATGGACCGACACACTAGATCAAGATCTCCGCGCGCGTCAGAGTGGAGATGGCATTGGGCCACTAACGGATCTTCATGGAGGCGAGAATACTTCATTGCTTCTCAAGAGTGGATACGCAACCATTCGCAACAACTTGATCGGTGTGCAGCATCCCCTACTACTACCACACAGGATGCAGATTCAACTACGTCAACGCCTACATGCAACAAGAGAAAGAGATCTCGAACTCCATGAGTACCACAACAGAGTTCAATAATTCATTGCACACTTGCTGCTTACAGCAGCCACACCACACAGCAAAGCTGTACCTATACTGCATCACACAAGAGAAGCAGATTGAACCCACTTTACGAGCATGGATGAGGAACTTGTCACCTGCTATGACAACAGTCAGCACCTTGTTGTTGTTGTTGTTGCATTCTTGTGTTTGAACGCGAGGTTGCCTTGCTTGAATTCCCGCAGCCATTTTTTGTGAAAACACATCTACATACCCTGTGCCCAACATGACGTCGCACCCAGATGGGGACGACATCAGCTCGTGGGGATCAGATGAACTTGAGGCATTCTTGCAGAAGGATGTTTCTCAGAGTCACGCTTCCCCGATCATCACCAAGAACACCAACACAGCAGGCGCTACCACATCTACTACCACGACTGAAAAGATGACAGCAGCAGAGGACGAGATCAGCTCGTGGAACTCCGATGAACTCACTACATTCATGCAGTCCGAAAAACCTTCATCAGGCCGCAAACCTTCTACGAAGCACAAGTGCGCCAGCCGCAAGACCAAGAAGAAGGACAAACGTCGGAGAAGAACATCTACCAGAGCATCGACAACGCCACAATCCATGAAGCATCTTCACAAAGAGCCGAAGAAGTCCAAACAAAAGAAACCATGTTCGGCGCATTCAACTTCATCAGCCTCTCCTACGACATCTACACCTGCAGCTGCAGCCTGTCATCGATCACCATCCCGTGAGCCTTGGTCTTCTGAGTCTATTGCTCCGTATGATGTTGTGCACCCCGCAGTCATGTACAAACGCTCGAAGAGAGCATGTGCTAAGATGCTTGTACGAGCCGGCTATCGATGCCAGTGTCACTTCAAATTGTTAAAGGAATGCCTCTTTAAGTCGATGTTGTAGCACGACGATTACCGCCGATTGCCTGCAGGAACAAAGTGCGATCACGCCCCGACAGGGGCTGTGTGTGTGTGAACCTCACTAGCACATGGGAGCAGAGGGTCACTCCTTTCCGTCGGTTTTTGATGCCATTTCGAAACACATTATTTTGGAAACACATGATTGTATGCAGGGGGCATGCGGCCATTACGCAAACGCATGCCAACGAAGCTATGCGTAATGGTGGATACCAGACCTGATCAGTCTGGCGTACCTGCACAAAACAAGCTGAGGCCCCTGAGCCAGCAAGATTAGAGGGCCCCTGTGCCAAGATTAGATTTTCAGTTGCCACAGTCGTCGGTTGAATTGACAGCAAGCAAGTACAACATGCCTCTCTCTTTTCCTTTTGCACTCGTGCTCTCGGCCGAATCAGTCAGTGTGTGCTCACGCACTGATTACAAGCTGTGGGTGTCGTGGTGGTGTCACAGGCGTACAGCGGGTTAGTTTGGACTCAGTTTCTGCATTGCTTTACAGCACACTCAACTTGACAGAACACCGTAGAGTGTGGAGCATGGTTTTCCAACCAGGATGTTGCTGTCGTCTGCTTTGTTGCTGGCTGAGTCGAGTCATTTCGCCGTCGTAGCGAACCAGTCGAGTCTTTAAGATGCACTGCTAGGCTGGTATGCAGGTCTGTAGCGAGGCCCGTGGGCCGACAGTCAGGTATTCTCGAGGTTCACAGAAACCTTAACTTAGAGGAGTTGTTGTATGTCCACGATGGTGCAACATGTCTGTTGAAGTGTATGAGCTTGCTTCTGTGACGGGCTTGTCAGCTTTTCAATGGACCATGTCGTCCTGCCCATGCTGAGGTGTATTGCAAGATCCATGTGGACCAGGCAGTCGGATACTGCACAGTGCGTTGTCCTATGCCAACAATGTGTTGCAGACCTGGTCCGAGGTTTGTCGGAGCGAAGCAATCCCCAAGAGGCCCATTCTGGACACGTAGCCAGAGACTGTTGCGATATCGCTGTTGTCTTCTTTCAACATGCTTTGACCACTGGCATTTCGGCATCAAACTCTCCAGCTTGTCAGATAAAGCCCAGGCAAACATCGTAAAAAGCAAATGGTCCAGTGCCAGACTTGAGCAACAAGGATCGGCCCTGGCTTAGATGTCGCACGCTTGCATGGGATTGGCAAGGAGCACTGCTCAGACGGCTTTCACGTCACATTCGTAAGCGTGCCGAGCACGCCGAGCGCAGTGATGCCAAGGCCGATGTGAGGAAACCTGCAGTCTGCAAAGCCCGAGCTCGAGAGTCGGTCCTCTGAAGGCAAGCAAAAAAGCATTGCAAGTGCAGATATCTTGAGATCAAAACTTGTGACCAGAAAAGCTGGAAAACGGACATGATCAACTTCTTGATTCTCGCGGTGTCTGGCGATGATCGAAAACATCGCTGGCTGGCCGCTCGGTAGCAAAACGCGTCAAGCCACTTGTGGTATTAATATGCAAAGCCGTAATGCATACGAGAGCCGAGGGCTCTGGCGCCAAGTCTGCACCACTTCGGTCCCTCGTGCAAACGTGGGCGTTTGATGCCCAGTCAGTCGGAGAGCATGTGCACAGCTTCCACAGCCGTACTCGGATTGAGGCGAGCCCACCACGTCTCGGAGACGGGCGTGGGCCCTGCTTGTGTCTTATGCCAAGACGTTTCTCCCCGAGACTGCACGCATTCGAACGTGTTTCGTTCAAACCAGCACATTCCTACCAAACGCCAAGTCAACGAACGGCTTTCTCTCCCTTTTCATTTGGAAAGCTAGTTGTTTGCAGAACCATGTTCCTGACAGCTTGGTTAATACGGTTGTTTACAGCTTACAGGCGTGAAGGCTATTTTTGTCGTCGTAGAAGGGTAGTGGCGGTGGTGGTGGTGCTAGTGGTAGAGTCTTAGTGGTAGTGGTGGTGGTAGCGGCAGCGGCAGCGGCAGCAGTAGCAGTAGCAGTAGCAGTGGCAGTGGCAGTGGCAGTAGCAGTAGCAGTAGCAGTAGCAGTAGAGCAGTAGGAGTAGGACTAGTAGTAGTAGCAGCAGCAGTAGGAGTTGAAACAGTAGTAGTACATGGTGCCGGCCGCTTTTTTGAAGTCAATCTTGCTAAACTTGCAAACTTGGTGAATCTTGCTAATCTTGCCCATCTTGGTGCGAGGTCCAGACAGTACCAAATCTTGCTAATCCTGAAATCTTGGTCGGCCGCAGGGGGTTCAAGATTACCAGCAATCTTGCCAATCGTGAGATCCTGTAGTCTTGGTTTCGAGTCTATGCTAAGCCGGGGGAGGGGCACGGCAATCTTTTCATCTTGCACCTTGTAATTGTAACCACTTGCATTACTTGCACCGTTTGTACCACAAGATTTTACCACCAAGATTACCAAGATTTCCGTCCCGCACCCCTTTCCCTCCACCCCTCCCGCCAGGAGGGTTTAGGGTTTGGGGTTTGGCGGTTTCCGGTTTACGGGTTTGGGCCTAGGTTTTGGGGCTCTTGTGGTCGGCAGTCAAAATAGTATTATGTGAAAAGTACAGGGTTTAGGGTTTTTAGTGTTTGTGGTTTTACGGTTTAGCGTTTAAGGCTGTCACTGTTTGGGTTTTTAAGGCTTAGGGTTTGGGGCTTTAGTCAGTAGTTCTAAAAAGTAGGTTTCAGTATTAGTATTACAGGGTTTAGGTTTTTTCGTTTTTTTTTTTTTTTACGGTCTCGGGTTTAGGGTTGAGGCTGTTGGGGCTTGACGGTTAAGGGTCTTGGGGTTACGCCCGCCCGGCGCGTGCCCGGCGCGTGCGGTTTACGGGTTTGGGGATAGAGTTTGCAGGGTTTAGGGTTTGTAGTTCGTAGATACCATTAGCATAAGCTTTATTATTCGCATGAATATTCGTATTCGTATTAGTATAAGTGTCAGCAATAGCATTAGCATTACAGAGTTAAGGGTTTCTGGGGTTTGGGGTTTCGCGCTTTGCTGTTTATAGGTCTCGGCTGTTGGAGTTGTACGGCTTAGTACTAAAAGGTTTGGGGTCCTTAGGGTTCAGGGCTTTGGGTTTGGGGTTTCACGGTTTAGGGTTTAAGGTTTAGGCTGTTGGGGTTTTCGGGTTTAGGGTTTGAGGTTACGCGCGCTTTGGGTGTTTGAATCACTGTGGTTGGTTGGCTGGGTGGGCAGTTCTGGTGGGGCACTTGCGCGCCTCCTATGCATCAGACAAGCATCAAGATCACCACGATTGCCAAGACTGTCAAGATTACCCCCCCCACCCCGAGTGCACCACTAGATTGCCAGATTGTGCGATTGTGGAACTCCTGCCCCCGGTGGCGATACGAGATCAAGTTTAACAAGCCTGCACGCGCAAGCTTGTCGCCCCCCCCGCCGGAGGCGACCAAGCTTGGCGTGTCATTTTTCTCCCCATCTACGGGCCCCACCAAGTTTGACAAGATTGCGCGTGCGGCCTGGGTCTATGATCAGCTTTCATTTGCCGGCACGCAGTAGTTGTAGGAGGAGGAGGAGGTACAGTAGGAGTAGCAGTAGCAAAAGCAGCAGCAGTAGCGGTAGCGGTGTGGTCACTAATCACGAAGGGTGCCAGAGTAGTGGTCAAACGATGACACAACGGCCGCGCAACCATGTGACCTTTTCCATATGCAATCATGTGTGCGTATATATATATATATATATATGTATATGTAAAAATGTATGTATGTATGTATGTATGTATGTATGTATGTATATATATATATAATGTAACATGCGTATAGGTAAACTGTGCACGTGTCAATACACATTTGTCAAGCTTGTTCAGGTCATGAAAGAACGTGTTAAGTGCCTCACCGGTACGTGACCAGTCAGAAGAAAAAGTGGCTTAGGAAACCGGCGTGTCGAAGCGTGACAGTGCCAACGAAAATGGTACCAAAGTGACAACCCGCCCCGGTTTGCTTGCTTGACAGCCTTTAGCCACAGCATGTTAAGCTTTGGGCTCAACAAGGGTTGTGGTTCTGTGGCGGGGCTCGTCTTGCCCGTCTTTGGGCTGGTGCTGGGGAGTGGTTCTGGGCGCACTTGAGTACTCCGGAACACTTTCGTTTGGACTTGACATGACGGACGGAAGCTTTCTGGCGAAGTGCCTGAGGGCGTGGATGTGTTTAAGCGTCCCGAAGCATTTGAGCATCCGAACGTGCCGAGCAGCGTAGTGTCCAAAAGTGCCGTTTGTTTCAAGATGTTTAGGGCTTCAAGGCTTACATGATATGTTCGGACCCAAGGGTCGCTTCCGACGCATAAAGCGATCTCAACTAGCAAAGCTGAGTGTAGAAACGCTCACAGGTGCTGAGATTTGTATCTGACATGTAGAGAAGCCACAGCTGAGCTTGCATCATGTCGCCGTCACTTGGACAAGACAGGTGGCTCTGGAGAAGGACGGGTTGGACCTGGATCTGAGCAGATCCGCCAGCGACTATGCGTGGGAGGCGGACCAGGCACAAGCCTGGGTCGTGTTTGCATCATGGGGATTTCAACACCAAGCGTGGGCGTGTCATGGCTGCCAGCAGGTGGAACTGTATTCCTGGCCTACGAGGGAAGAGTACATGGCACCAGAGGACCTTTCGAAGCCTTCAGAGCCGCAGCTTGAAGATGATGTCCGCGAGGACAAGGCCCTTGAGCCGATAGGGACGGAAGCTCCGCAAGCCTCTGCCGTCTTGGAAGGCCTTGGCGCACAGTGCGCAGAATCGCGTGGGTCCGTGCACTTGCAGCATGCTGGTATCTCGATACGTCAATGACATTGACGTCCTTTGCAGGTGCCCAAAGTGCTCCATCTTCGCTATTGCAGGCACCTTGCCCTTGCTCCAAATCTTCATCGAAGACCGCCGCAATGCGAGGTGTGCAGCTCCATAAGACCGGAAAAACCGGAAACTCACACCAAAAAAACGTCAGAGAAGCCAGCACAGGACACGGGGCCGCGGGGCCAGGGGAGTCGAAGCCGACAGTCGACTTTGCTTGCAGCAGGTCAAGTCCAAGCCGACAAAGAAAGCTTCAGGTCCTGCTGGGGTTCTCTGCTTCCGGTCTGCGCAGTCTGATAGTGGGTTTGGGGGAAGGTGCGGTCAAGCCGAAGCCAAAAGTCCCTGCCTCAGGGCTCGGTGTCACATGCGTCCGCTCGGGAGGATGCAATTTCCCCTGCATGGCCCGTGCTAGCTAGGCTCGCTCAAGCGGCTTCAAAACTGCAGGCCCAAGCGATACTGCCTTCGCACGTTGCATGACGGCATTGGTAATTTGTGACAACAAACAGTTGATGCAGGTGCTGGGGACAAGAAGGAGCCTCTTCCAAGCCCGCAAGAGGAGATCGAGATGGGCGCTTAGTTCCTTCGTCTGTTCCGTCTCTGCCTGGAATGTTGGATGACGGGACAGGGTGAGGAGGCTGCGAGTTGCCAGATGTTCCATCGCTGTTCTGTGAAGTGGAGTTGCTGAGGTTTGTGCAGCAGAATCCCAAGAAGGCTGCCAGGGCTTGCCTGTGCAAAGAAGATGAAACATGGTGCGCGCGAGGCAGGCGGGAAGGGCTTCGATCGCTACGAGCTGTACAAGAAGGCCAAAACCATCGCTGAGGCGAGAGCCGGTGAGAGCGCATACTCGGAGCAAAGAGCGAGCCATTTTTCCAGAGCACTCCGGACATTGGGTGCCACGCACAGTGCATGTTGACGAATTCTTTTCGAACCATCCGGGATCATCCAACATGCTGTTCGATCAAGCCGGAGGGCATTGCCCCAACACGACTACCCAACTGTCGCTGTTGGTGATTTGTGTAGCCGTGCAAGACGTGCAGTACTGAGTCGGTGAACTGCTCTGCACGTTACCGCTCCGGGTCGATGGCTGTTGCAAGTTCTTCTTCTCTTCCGAATGCTTTGTTGGGATGATTTGCATTGCGCATCGCATGCTTGGGCTCATTGGTTGATTTCTGATCACGGCAGCAGCACACCTTGAGTTTCCGGTCTCTTAGAGAGACGAGTTTCAGAAAGCGAATGCATGATAGTTTCAGGTCAGGGGGGAAATTTTGCTTGAGGGTGAGATTCATACTTCCGTTGTGCACAAACCTTACACCTGCGCATGCACTTGCATGTAGGCGTTGCGACGCATGCACCCACACCCGACGGACACACCGTGCATACAAACACGGATGTATTGTGTGGAGTCTCGCAGACCTTGCCTGCCATTCCGTTCAACTTGCGGTATCAGAGCACCACTCAATCACTACAGTAATCCCTTTGAGTAGTGGTGGTCAACCTTTCGTGTTTGTTTGAAGCTTCGTTTGACCACCTTTTTTTGGGAGGCGGGCTGGGGGCAAGGAAAGACCGAAAAGGGTACAGAGCGAGGCAGAGCGAAAAACGAAGCGAAGAAAGAAAGATCTGAAATCTTAAGCCCGGACCCTGAACCCCAAACCCGACTCTTTGCTCAAGGCTCAAGGCCCAGGCTCAAGGTGCGGGGGCACCTTCAGGGTCTGAGTGCGATTTTGGCTCTGTGAGCGGGCTTCTACCGTATGTGCCTGATTCCGAGCAAGCGGGCGGGTGCTGTTCCTCTGCGAGGAGCCCGATTACACGATCGCTTCCTGGGATTGGACTCTTAGCATGATGAGGCGCCGGCCGTTCACCGCTGGACCTCGCAAGAGCGTTGCCGCATGGCCGCTTTACATGTCCCGCACCAGACCCTTGAGTGGGATTTTGATCGCAGGACAAGAATATTTCGCTTTATTCAGACTTGGGGCTTCGGAGGTCCTTTCCAATGCCGGGACCAAGGTTTGGTGCTCAGTATCCAAGAATCAGAAAAAAGGGGCGATTTCAGGGCACGCGGTGCTCACGAAGAGGGTTGTAGTGAGACAGCTGCGGAGGGTCTGGATTTTGATTGGAGTGACGTCGGAATGCTAAGGGGTGGTACGACATGAGGAAGATACGGGTTGGCGACGACATGCCCCACAAACGCTGGATTCACAGGACCATGGATTCGGGGTCGGCTAATTCGGGCTGGTATGGATTCTTATGGTCCCGCAGCAGCAGAATCCGGATCGGGCACTACCCCGTCCACGCTTGGCTGGTTTGGAATCTTGTGGTCGCAAAAATGTACAGCAGCCAGAGGATTAGTCGAACACCCAAGGTTTTGGGATGGAATGTCGGTGGATGTGATATCACTGACTTGGCGAGCCACTTCCGTGAGGGCTGCACAGCCGTTCTGCCGGGCATCCTGCTTACCGTGCCAAGGACAGACGTTGTCTGGTCGACGCGGAAGTGTTGCAAACGGACCGGAGGGAATGTGGAGATGTTCCGGCATGGCCTCCGGCAAGAGAAACGTGCAATCTTGATGAGGCCACCGTCGGGCAAAGGGACATGGTCTCAACATGTCTCAACTTCGTCATATTTCGACATTTGCTCAAAGACATGGTGGTGTGGATTGGCAGTGCTGAATGTAAGGCAGGATCCAAAGGGTATAAATTCACGCCCCAGACCAATTTACGCACCCCAAATGGTTGAACTTCTTTTGATGTTGGTGGGTTGTGGAGAGGGCTGGATGGCCCGATTTGATTGTGAAGCAAATTCATTTCTGCAGTAACAAGTGCAACAACATGTTGGAGGTGCGGTCATGGCCGACTTTCGTAGCCATTTCGGCACAAGGAGGAGGTTGACCAGTCTTTTGTTTAGGTGATGGCGCGATTTATCCTGCCGTCCGCGACCGAGCTGGAGGCCATCACAAATCCAGCGGAGGCACATGCTTGGGCCGGATGCTCAGACGCAGCATGGAACGCATTCGATTCGGTTGCTGATGGAGTATCGTCCTTGCGAGTGTTAGCTGTGATACCAATTGCTACTACTCGTCAGTGTTTGCCAGCCTTGCGAATCACTGGGACGGCTCGCCAAGATTGCTGACGCCTTTGGAAGTGATTCAGTTGGCGTTGACATGGAGAGTGGCAAGGCTGTGTTATTCGTTGCCAGATGTAGACCCATTATTGCCGGACGAAGTCGTTCCAGCAGCAGCTGGGCCTTCAGTTGGAGAGACCGCAGTGGCCAGAAAGAGAGTCAAAACGAGTGCCATCCTGGATCAGCTAGACGAGACAGAGGTGGACGCCATGACACAGACCAAGTTAGACGAAGCTTACCGGAGCCATGTCGAGATGACAGGGACCGAGCCGGTGGCGGAAGCAGAACCCACGGCGGAGCAAAGTGCCGCCCTCCGGATGAAAGTCGTTCAGAGAGGAGAAGCGCCATATGCAGATTTCAGTGTGTTCACTCCGTATGGCCGACGGGTTCAGAGACAGATGAAAGCAAAATCCTGGGTTTTGCAACAAGACGGCACGTTCAAGGCTTTGGAAGTGCCAGGGCCCTTTGCGTTCGAGGCTTGGAAAGCATGCTGGAGAGTGTTTCGGGCAGCAGTGTTCATGCTGAAGTACCCGGCTTCGTCCTCTTCGTCGGGGCCTGCGACGAACGCCACAGCTGTGGTGATTGGAAAAGTATGCCGAGACTGTGTTGACGCTCAACAACGACTTTCCGGAGATTTGGCATCTGTTGATGCAAGAAGTAGATCACTGTCGTTCGGAAATGTTCGAGCGATATGGTTCGGTTGTTGACGAGGGCAGCTGCCGAAGGGAAGCTCCCAGTGGGGCTGAGTTTCAACGCACCAATGCCATGGATAGGATTTTCTCTTACGCTGCCAGATCTTCCGACTTCTGGTACGGGCATGTTGTGAGACACGCTACTGGGGGCCGCAACATGTCACAGGAGACAGCTCATCAAGCGACGGCTCATCAGGCCGTGGCCAATGCTGCCGGGGCTGCAGGAGTTTCAAAGCCGCCTGCTCCGTTTGGGCAGGGCACATCGAAGTTTGCGGAGAAGCGCAGAAAGGAGCAGGCCAGGAAGATTGCCGAAGCAGAGCAGTCCGAGGCAGCAAAGCAGAAGAGGCTGAGCGCAGGAGGCGATCATCCTCGGAAAGTAGGCGATCTCTATGTCACGAACAGCGAGGGTGTGGCGTTGTGCATTCGGTTTTCGAGATCATACTTGTCAGATCTGCTTGGGAAGGCATCCCAATGCGCAGTGTCCTCAGGCGCAGGGGCAGAAAGGTGGCAAAGGCACCGGAAAGTCTGGCCAGTGACCAGAAGAAGGGCCGATGTCACAAGAGCTGGAAGCGCATGCGACTGTGCAAGAGAACGTCCACGAGACGAGTCCAGATGCAGATGGGCCATTTCCGCGCTTCAAGTTTGTAGAGCTCTTCACAGGTGTCACAGCTGGCGTAGCTGCCTTGGAGGCACAAGCTCCAGTTCAAGCTTGCCCTGGTCGCGATGCGTATCAAGGCTGGGACATTTTGACAGAAGAAGTGGCTCGTTCTGTCGATCACGTGCATATTGCGCTTCCTTGTCGGTCTTTTTCAATAGCGAGAAGATCAGACGAACATGGGGATGTGGAGGTGGTGAGGTCGGAGTCTTACCCGGAATCCGATCGCTCTGGAAGGGAATGCTGTGCTAGAACGAGTGCTGGCGCTTTGCTTGGAGCTCCTCAGCCGCCAGAAGACTTTTTCACCGGAGAACCCGCAGTCGTCGCTCGCTTGGGAGACTCGATGGCTGAAGAAACTTGCGACAAGGGAGCCATGTCCTTGAAGCCGACAAGCATTTTGACCAATGCCCCGTGGATGTGGCTAAGCAAGAGATGCGGCGAGGTTCGTCAGCATCGGCATCTCGAAGACGGCCTGCAGGGGGAAACCCTGAGATCCTTGATCGGGCCTCGTGGTCCGGCGAACACAAAGGGCTGCCAAGTACTTGGGCATGGGCAGAGTGTCTCAAGGATTAGCTCAAAGAGACGTCGTGGCAAGACGAACACTCCTTTGTTTCATGCGGAAAGTTTTCGAATGTGCTCGTTCGGAAACCTTTGCGTCAACACTCCCAGCCGTCAGCGCCTTGTGCAGAGGCAGTGTCAACCAAAGCTCAGCTGTCCAACAGAGAAACCAGTAGAATCTGGAGGCTATCGGCGGTCTTCGTGACCCTCGCAGAGCAGTGGCTCGAAATCCTGTCTTACAAAAGGTGGGTCAGCAAGTGAGAAGCGTCTTGGATAGCCGCTTAAGTCCTTCGGCGCTGGAACGCTTGGAAAGTGACTGCTCCGTGTGTCCGTTTGAAGCTAGCTGCATTAGGGATTGTCAACAGAAGTTGGCCAAATTGGCGTCAGCTTCGGTCGAATCTGAAGGATAGCAGGCCGGCATTTTTGCAAGGCCTCTTGCGTGCATCAAGCGATGCAGAATCTGAAGTGCTCCCGAAGAGGATCCGTGAGGGATTCCCAATAGGAATTTTGCATACCGGCATTTTCCCGCAGACTGATGATGTTTCAGCGTCCATCAAAGCGTCCCAAGTTGCCGGCACTTTGCTTGAAGACTGGGATGGGCAACTCGTAAATTTCGCCTCGTTCGGACAAGCGGGCGACAAAGCCGTGCTGGCTCGCGTGGTCCGGGAATGCCGCACGTCAACAGCTCAGACGTGGGATGAGGTTGTGGCCAAGCTTGGGCCCAATGCAAGGCTGACTAAGTTACCCTGCGTCGTTAAACAGAAGAGCGACGGTAGTGAAAAGGTCCGGCTCGTCGTT